GGACAGTGGTTCTGGCCCAGGGCCAGGACTACAACTCCTGGCATACACTGGGTGTGGAAATGCCATTCCATTGGCTGGCACTGGGGTGTAGAGACAGTGGGATTGGATGGGGAGGCTGGATGGGGTAGGACTTCTGGGCCTCCAAGATGACGATTGGTGGTTGGGCCTATTTAAGGCAACGTGATGCAAGTGGTCAGCACCACTCTTTCTCAACCGGTGGACTCTTTAAAAAAGTTGGGCAAGTGGAAGTCTGGGGCTTTTGCTGGCTACATTTGTCCAGGAATGGACTCTTGTGTGGGATTGCCTTGGGGGTTTCAGGGGGACCCCCTTTACAAGGCTGATAGTACAGCTTTCAGGGGTTGGTGGAATGTGGGCCCTAAGGGGCAGGCCCAGCCTTTTGTGATGGTAGCATGGGTCTCGGATCTGGTGGGGCACGGTTTCCTGTGCTGTGGAGCACTGGATTGGGAGTCCATGGGGGACTCGGGGTGCTGAGAGCATTGTGGTGTTGCCATTGTAGGGGCAATGCCAGATCAACATCCCCCGATGACAAGGGGTAGAGATGCAAACATGTGCTTGACTGGCACATTTCCTGAAATACACACATATGATCAACCAGTTACCTCTTTTGTCATCCCAAAGCTTGGCCGTAATCAGACAATTTGGTTCATCAATTAACAAGGGGTTGGTTGATGCCAGATCCAGACCTCATGTGTTTTGGCCCAACCCTACCTGTAAGCTGTATTTGATAAAATTGTGGCCTTTTCCTTCCAACTGGGTGTGTTGTGGTCATTCCTTGCGATGCCTCCCTTTTCACAGCAATCTATTGTATTCCCTATTACCATGTATGGATGTGGGAGCTGGACAGTTAAAGAAGATAGGAAGAAAATCAATTCATTTGAGATGTGTTGGAGAAAAGGGCTGAGGATTCCATGGTTAGCCAAGAAGACAAATGAATGGGTCCTGGAGCAGATCAAGCCAGAAATCTCCTTGGAAGCCAAGATGTCAAAGCTTATGCTGGCATACTTTGGGCACAACATGAGAAGGCATGTATCGGGAAAAAAATAATGCTAGGAAAGGTGGAAGGAAGTAGAAAGAGAGGAAGGCCACATGCTAGATGGATGTTCTCTATTAAAGAGACAACGAATATGAGTTTGCAGGAGTTGGGCAGAGCAGTAGAAGACAGAAGATCTTGGAGATGTCTCATCAGCAGGGTTGCCATGGGTTGGGACCAATGCAAAGGCAGCTAATGACAAACAAGTGGTGAGCAAGCAAGAAAGCACCCTTTCTTGCTTGCCCCATAGCCATGCCAGTCTCTTTGGATGTACCAACCCAGTGTGTGACAACACTCTCTGGGGTGTTACCTGGTGTAGGCCACACACCCCTCACCCTCCATGTGACACACTGGCTAAAGAGATTATCTAATATTATATTTTCATGTATAAAAAAAAATATTTGTGACTGAAAATTTCATTTGCTTCTTAGCTCCTGGGCATTTTAGAGGGCAAACTACTCATGAATATAACCACACAACAGTATTCTAGGCTGTTGCCATACTACTACCATGGATGGAGCCATGGTAGTTAAAGCTATGTTAGATTGCAGTGCAGATGCAGTTCGAGTTAAATAGTTTTGCATCTATGGCACATATTTACCAAGATATTACATTTCATTACAAATTTAAACATTACATCTTAACATAAAACCTGGAAAATAAGCTAAAGAGTTAAAGTAAAGGTGTGCAATTTATGTCCAACACAATATGTTTCTGTCTTGGGTATTTCTGAAGTCTAAGCCATGGACTCATTGCTTTTTATTTCATTTCCTGTAACAGATTCATTTCTAGGAACATCTGGTAATGAGCTAAAAGCTTACCAAGAGACTGATCCAAGCAAGCAAGCAAGCTGTTCTTTGGAAAACATCACATCTAGAATCAAGCTTTTCTGAAAGAACTTATGGGGGGGGGGG